ATGATTCCGCGGGTCTTTTTCGCGTAGAGGCGGTACCGGTCCGTGTTCCCCACGATTTATCGCTAATTTATGCGGGACCATTCTTTAATTGCGCGCGGATGCCTTCCGAGGGCAACGAATTCGACGCAAAAACCGAGAAAAACGCCATACATATTGTATACACTGGTCATAGCGATGTACGGTACAAATTTGGAATGCTAACGTTATTTCTCGAACCTTAAAGGCAAGCTTGTTCGAACCTCCACCATGAAACTGAACAATTCAAAAGAAATGCTGTAGCTACTAAAATAAAGGGTATTTCGTTATTCGCGGTACAACTCACGGGGAGGGTGGGAGGGGTGATTCCTCGCGAAAAACAAGTCGCGGAGAAAGAGTGAAATTTGTTCGTACGAAGCTTCGTTTTCGAGCGTAGAACAGCGTTCAAGTCGGACAATGGTACAAGTAGAAACAGTCGGACACGAACGGACGCGGTCGCCAAAATTTCTACGAATGGAATGCCGTCTTGGTTAAAATAAGGCGCGTGGCGGTAGGGTGCACCGAAAACTATTGTTTTTCAAGTATTGACTTTATCGTCACGGACATAATTTCTCCGTGCAATATGTGGAATTCGTATTAAAACCGATGACCCTGCGCTGGGTACGCGCGGCAACGAATCCGCTCGATATAAGAACGCAGCTGCGTCCGCAGGAAAAGCGTTATTAATCGGAGAGGCAAAAATTCGTCGTTTCCGCGATATCGTGCTCCGAAAAGAGAGCATTTAGTCGATCGGGAGGAATAATCGAGCGTAATCGCGTAATCTCGCGATTACGCGTTATTTTATTCGTTTCCCCCACCGCCCCTTCCCCTATATACGAGCCAGGAGCCGATTCTCGTCAACGACACCGAAGAAGGGAACGTTGGATCGGTTTCGCGCGCGAGCGCCGGATGTCGTAAAATTACGGAGGCCGGTGGCGTTAAAATCGAGAGATTCCCAACTCCGGGCGGCTACTCTGTTGGAAATTATACATCGTCACGCGAACCGCTAGCCACGGACTAAGACGCTAACGCGGCAGTTTCTAGAGCGGATTTAACGGGGCATGTAGGACCCCGGGAGAACAAAAAGTGAATGGTAATACACGACGAAGGATGTTATAATGGAACCCGGCGACCAACACGCCCGCCTCGTGGTCCACTTTTTGCAACGTCGTATGAGTTCTCGATCCGTTTCGACTTCTCTCATGCTCCCACTCTGGTACAAGTTCATCGCGAACGTTTACAAACGCGCCCGACGAAACGTACTCTTCCGATCGGGGTTCTGGCGAAGAAAATTAATTACAATTTTGACGCGTTACCGATAACGTATCGTACAACTGTTTTACCGCGGACGTAAGAAGTTGGTGAAACGTGTTAGCAAAATGGTCCCGAGTCGGGCAGCTTCTCGAGACCGCGAAGGGTTGAAAAAGAACGAGCGGCGTTTCTTGGGGGGGAAATTCGAAGGTTGGTTTTCGACGTAGCGGATCGGTTCGAAAAAGGGGGGGAAAGAGGCGAGGGACGCGGGTAAGTCGATCGAAGGTAAAAATCAGCGTATCCCGGTGATTAGCCGGCGCTAGGCGTTAACGTTGCTCGGAGCAGGTTTGGCGGGGCCGCGACGAACGAGAGAGGGTGATCGAGCGTGCGAGCGCGCGAGTATAGCCGCGCGGACAAGCGAGCGAGCGGAACGGTCGTGGAACGGAGAAAGAGTAAGCGGTCCCGGCAAACAAGAAGCGAGCCGCAATGCATTCGCTCTACTCGCTAGATATAAATACGCGACAGAGGGCAAGGAACCAACCACGCCTGCACCGACAGCTACTGCCTAACGACACGGACACGCACACGCGGTCGCTCATTGTGATAAAGCAGAAGAAGGAGCAGAGAGAAAGAGAGAAACGAAGCGGAGTATGGTAGGAGGACGAGGGAAGAGGGAAAGAAGACGAAGAGTCCGGGGGCGGGAGGAGGGAGGGAGGAGGAGGAAAGGGCGGGAGGGAACCAGGAGGAGGAGGAGGAGGAGGAGGAGGGGGAGAAGTTGACAGAGAGGGAGCGAAAGAGAGGTGTAGGCTGCTCCGAGGCTGCTGCGTTCGTTCATGCGCCCGTCCGCGCGCTGGAAGTTGGGACGAATGTGGCCGGTCGAGTCTTTAGAAGACGCAGCCAAATATTGCATCCTCGGATAAATATAGGCAGCCACGGCTGCACAGGCCGGCGCTCGCTAACGCGCACTTTTCTCCGTTGCTCGTCTTTGGGACGGCGCGCACCAGCCATCTAGCCACCGACGGCATTCCTCCTGCGGGCTCTCTGTCGCTTTCTTTCTGTCCATCTTTCCATCTCTCTCTCTCTCTCTCTCTCTCCCTCTCGCTCTCTTCCTCTCTTTCCATGTGCGAGAGCGATCGTTAAATTCGTTTCGTGGCCGAGAACTTCGGCCAGCACGTTGCCCCGGTGCTTTCCATTCTTATTCTTACTCCTTTTCTTCTTGCGCTAGGTTTCTCGCGCGCTCTTTCGTTCTTTCTTACCGAAATATCTGTACGTAATGGGGAATCGGTCTCCGGACGAGCAAGAGCTCGCGAATAAGTCGGATCGACTGAAAACGATCGGGAGGTCCGCGGCAGCACCGCGACGACTCTGCAAGATGCGTTCGGATCGCGCTGTTATCGTGCTAGCGATAACTCGCAATCGGGTCGGTACAACGGTGCATTGTCGAGCGAGCGAACGTCACGATACGCTGATTTCTCTCGATATTATGGTTCACAGCTGCGCGAACGGGAAAACATCGACGAAAAAGGTCGCGTGGAATTTTCCTCGAAAGAAAGCGAAACGGTCGCAAAGGTGGACACCGTCGTAGAACGTTGGTTCCTTTGTGACGGAGTAGCACGCGGTCGAATCGGAGCTGCGCTTTGTTTTCGCAGCAGGCGTAACCTTCGGAGCGAGAGGCGGCGGGCCGCGAGACGATCGGAGCGAGCGTGTCGCGGCTGGTGCACGTGGCCACGGGCATAGTCAGTGAAAATCATCGTGCGCGGACATTGGGTGGCGGGAAACGTGCGTGACACGGGTGCACGGAGGGAGGCCCTAATCAACCTAGCGCGTGAACCTAACCTAACGCAGCGTCGGGGGAAGGCGGCGCGGCGTGTCGTCGTCCCGCGGCGACGGCGACGGCGTCGCCGGCGGAGGCGGTGGAGGCGGTGGAGGCGGCGGGGACAGCCGGCGAGAGAGAAGAGACGGTTATCGCGGAAGTTCGGCAATTATAGGTGCCGAGTCGCTTTTTTTTTCAACGACTGATATTGATTTGGGAGAGGCAGTTCGTATTCGTGGCACGAGCATACCTTGTGACTCGCAGAGGCGGCCGGCAGCGCGATGCATCACGGCGCAGCGCGCATCGAGGGGTACATCGGCCGGGGAGTGAGAGACCGGGAAGGGGCGGGAGGGACAAGGGGTAGGAAAGGCGACCGGAGGAACCCCCACCCGTTTTGTTCCTCTCCGCCGAAACTTCCCCCACCAAACGACCGGCTGGCCCCCACTTCGACACGGTATCAAATCCCTTCCACGGCCGCCCAACGGACATAACTTCCTCGCCCGACTCCTCTCGGTCCTCTCCCTTCGTCAACCTCCGCGCTCCTTCTCCCACTCTGTCTCCCGCACGCGGTGTATCCTCTCCACCGTGTCTCGTTCTCCTCCGACGCGGTCACCGCCGCCACCACCACCACCGCCGTCGCCACCACCCTTGCCGCTGTCCGCCAGGGGCGGAATATTTCGCCGCCCGCGGATCCTCTTCTCGATTTCTCGGCCGATCCACCAAAAAATCGTCCATCGCCCACCAAAACGAAACGGACGACGTTCCACGATCGCGTTTCTCCGTGGCCGACTGCACGGACGATTCTACTCGGAACGTTAGCAGCAACAGCGTGCAGTGCGGACGCACGAAACGTGGCAATTTTCGAAAATTGCTCGAGACGGTCACCCTTGGAAGGATGCGGCGCAGAGTGCCCGCGGGACCAGAGTCGAACGTGTCCCGTAATTGACTCGCGAACAAAGTATAAATCCGGTACCGTCCAATTAAAGACGAGATCGAGAGCTCGTTGACCGGCAATCGTCTGCATGCAAGCCATCCGTTCAAAATTTTGCCCGTCACGCCACCCCAATTTGGCTCGTACCAACAACAACGTTCCGGAGTGAGAGCGAGAGAGAGAGCGGAGAACGAAGGGCTCTCCCGCCTCGATCGTAGGACGTACGAGAGAACGAATCTGTAGGAGCGCGAGTGCCCGGAGGTGCCCCCGGAGTCGCGTGAAGCCGGCCCTGACGCCATCACCGCTCGCTCGACGCCGCGCCGCGCCGGCACCTTCTCCGCTCGTCCTCTCCCGACGACGGTGTCTACCATCCCAAACCCGACCCGAACCAGTCCAGAAATCCCCACTCCGCGGCCGCGCACCGCGGCGACGGAAGTGTGGCAACGCTGCAGCTCGCCAGTGTCTCGGTCTTGGCGAGTTACTCGGGGGGGCTCAGGCCGAGTCTACCGAGTTTGTGTCTACCGGCGCGGGTAACCCGAAAGCGAGTGTGCCGAGGATTAAAGTCGCGGGCCTCTTGCCGGCACGCGAGACCGTCTCGCTGCTCGAAGCCCGTGAAAACGGACTGAACGTAAATATTCGACAAAGGGAGGACCGATGCTAACGCGGAGAGGAGTTTTCCAAAGTTTTTTTCACGGTCGCGCGAACCAACGATCTCAGGAGGGATCACGACGCGTAAACGAGAAGAATTCGACGCGAAAACAACAAAAAAACACCCACACGCACACACACGCGCGCGCGCGAAAAAAAGGAAAACGAGCCGACGACGGGACACGTTTCGCGCGTTTGTCGTTCATCGTCCGTGATCACGCGAACGTGCACCGTATCGAATCTACGTACGTTCTATACATACTTAACTACTCTGCGTATACACGCGTATATATATACATATATATATACGTATATCTACATATTAAAATAATACACGGTGATCCACGCGCGACCAAAAACAGTGTAAATGGCGCTCTCCGCACAGAACCAGTCGACGTCGTACGTGAACTTGTATTACTCGATCGTCCAGCGTGCGGCGACACGCTACTTTAAGGAATATTACAACTCCGGTGAGTACCCCGTCGTCTCGTCATCCATGGGATACGTCCGTCGTCCGTTCCCTTTCATACTCGATAACGCATTACTTGGAATCCGAAATCACGCACGCACCCGCTTGGCCACCTGTGCGTCGTCCACGTTTTGCCAAAACGACGACGTCGTCGCAAGCGCGCGCCGTGTGTACGCGCGGTTTCGAATTTTCCCGCCCTCCCTCCTACCCTGCTCCGATTCTCTCTTACACGATACACTCTCGCTCTCTCCCTCCTGATTCACCGCCTCCTCCACAATGTATACACACGCGTCCACACTCACGCACTCATCTCACCTACACGCACACCATACGTAGAGTACATACGTGCAACGGGCAGACAGTCGAGCCGGCACCCACTAGCAGAAGTGCTCTTCCGACACCGATTAAAACACGCCGCTGGCTAGACACGTGCCAGCTTCTAACTTGTGTGCGCTCCACGCACGCTACCGCGAACCAAGCCGAACGTCACACCGGTCGTGAAAACAGTGGCTCGATGAGCTCGTGATTCTCTCGCGGCCGATTCTCGAAAAGTTGCGCTGGACAAGGTCAAGCGGAGGTTCGAATTCCACCTAAAACAATGGTCGTCCGGTGCGGTTGCGAACGGTAGAACGGGCATGCCGGTTAACGCGACGAAACGCGCAAACGACAACAGTTTGCGTTCATACGGTGCAAGAGGAACCGGGGGATTGGGAAGGGGGAGGGGGGCGGCTGTTCCGGGGGTCCGTGAATCGAAGATAAAGAAACGAAAGACACGGGGGGACCCGCGAAGAATCTCGGTATCCGTCGACCGTTGCGATTTGCAAAACGCGCGAGAGGAAAAAGCGAGAGAGGAGGGGGAGATAGACAGCGAGCGAAAGAAGCACGGAGTGGGAGGTAGATAGAGACGGAAGGAAAGAGAGAAACAGAGAGCGAACGAATGAGAGAGAAAGAGAGAGAGAGAGAGAGAGAGAGGCATGCTGATCCGCAAAATACGGTCTCGTTACTATCGTCGGTGTTGGGTCATCTAATCGGCTCTGAAATTATCGTCTCGTCGGTGCAGAGTGACGAAACACGCTCTCTCCGGGAGCAATAAGTTTTTCGTGGCCAACTCCGTCCGGTGTATCGCGCTACGATTTCTCTGGAACCCGTCGCCGACGTCGTCGTGATCGTGGTGATCGTCGGTCGCGCGAGTCCTTCGGATGCTGATCGGTTCGATCGCGTTAACGCGTCGCCTCGCGTCGCGTCGCAACCAGCCAGCCAGCCAGCCGCGTGCGTGCACAGACGCTCGCGCGTCCGCCGGCGTCGATCGTGTGTCTGCACGGGGCCTGGTCAAGGTGAACATTCGCTGACGGAGGAAAACTTGCGACGATCGTGCCGCTCGTGACCGAGAGAACGGCCCTCGCGTGAGATCGCGGCGACGCGGCCACCAGCGGGCCAGTAGCACCGATGATCGGCGATCGAGGATACGGGATCGCGCGTCCCGATGCCGGCCGCCTGCGTTGCCGATCCGACGATGCTCGATCGTGAGAGAATACGCTCCGTATTGGCTACCGTACACACGCGGACCGCAAGATCAGTGACCAGTTGCGAACGGACCGACGCTTTCGTACCGTGATTCGAGACTTTTTGCCGGCCGATAGTGTTATCCGAGACTCTCCGACAAATGGACCGCGCTCCTACGTTTTTCCACCGATCGCGAGAACTTGCTACGCTCGATCGTACGGATCACGGGACCCGTTGAAACGTCCGCTGGAATTTCGGCCGATTCGATGCTCGCTTTGTTCGTTGCACACGGAGGCGCGCGACTGCAACGCGGGTGTTTCGCGGTCTCGTAACGTTGTTTTCGCGCGTGATAGTTTGGCAACGCGACTTCGCTACCGGCGACGGGACATCGACGTCCGGGAGGCCTCGAGGAACGATCCACGCACCTGATACACACGAATCTCTCCCAGAGACGGAATATAGACCGCCGCGGCCATCCAGTGATTCTCTTGTTTTCATTCTATGAAGCGTCGAATTGTAATCTAGTTTGAAACAAAAAAAAAAAAAAAGAGAGAGGGAGGGATGGCTATCGACCGGCAAGAGCGAACGTTATCTCTGCTGTAGGTTTATCGCGATATTCCTCTTCGGCGTCGTCATCGAAACAGGATCATTTTCGCTGGTTGACATGACGAGGATATCGGCTGGTGATCCCGGGATCGTTATTGGACGGTATAAAGTCAATCGCGCCGAATAAAACGATTGGTTTTCGTTTAGCCCCGCTGAACCGGCTTTCCAACTTGGACCACCAGAACTACACATGATCGGTCTGTGGAACTTTGCTTATTTCAGAGGTACTTGTCACGCTAAACTTTTCGATCGATATCTACGACTGATCGTTCCTCCTTTTTCTCTCCGATCGCGCTCGATCTCCTCCTTCTATTCCTCTTTTTACTTTAAATAATTCTGAACGCCCCGCAGTCGTCGATTACACTGTTGGACCGAACTATAAAACACCCTTGGAACTACCGGGTTACAAGACCATTTATTTTCAAGCAATATTCTACAATTTTACGAACGGTTTGACTTATAATTTTGTCCACCAATGTATAAGGATAGCAGTCTGAGCATAATCGGACTTGCCCTACTGATCCGGGACGCTTGACTAAGCTTTCCTTAATATTAACAAAGAAATAAATTGCGTTTGACGATATCTATGACCTGCATAGGATAATATAATATTATTAATTTCGTACGCGGCCACTGTTTCCAAGCATTTTGGCGCAGATAACATAAATGCCTCGGTTTAAAACGCGTTATCGTCAGCGAAGAGTGATTGTCTGCAACGCTTAGCGGCAAAGTTGACAACAACTTCTGCAATCTTTTTCAGCTTCGATCCTATTTTCACCCAAAACGGTACGTTTTCTTTATCCTTGCGCCTTTGCTAATGTCTAAAATTCTTATCTACAAATTTCGTACAACGAACGAAAGATAAGCAACTTTCTATTCGTTGCTCGTAGAATAAAAATCAAGGCTCGAGTTACGGAGCGAAACGACTGCTCGACCCGTAACTTTTCCTCGCAGTTTTTCAAAATGCTCCCACAACTTTGGATGGAAACGTAAAGAAAAATACGAGCTTGCTCTCAAGACCGACACTGTCTGTTTTGATTGCCTTCGGAATATTCGCGAGCCATAAAAGCGTATTGATATTATTCGCATAAAAGTTGGCCCCGGTGCTCGATTATCTGTACAGTGCGAATGGAAGTCCAATTACTGGAAAATGTTGTTTTTTAATCGAAGGATATTAGTTACATTCGTTTGAACCGATCGGATGCAAAACAAATGTTTCGTCGTTTGTGTGTTATCACGAACGTTTAAACAATTTCCAAAAAAAAAAACTTGTTTGCGAAAACAAGGGGATTGCGGCTTGAAATAAATTAATTATAAAATATCCTCCCTCGGTCCCTGTACGAAAACAATCAGAACCGATACGTTGATCTGATCTTCGTAATTCGGGACCAGATCGTCGACTGTTCGAACGAAGAATACGTGTTTCCTGTTGACCGGTACAACAGTCGCGAATTCCACTAGAATTGGTCCGTTTTATGAACAAGCTGCTCCCGGCGGAATACTCGGTTTTTTATTGAATAACTCGCGACGATGAGGCGCGCGCGCGTTCGCTTATATTTGGAGAATAAACGTCGGCGGGTTTATCGTGTGACTTCTGACGATAAGAGCGCGAACGTTGCTCCGTATCAACGGGAACGTAAGAATCAACGCGGGAGAACAGGCCTGGGTGTTTGCGCGCGGAAAATCTGCGATCGGTCGATTCGCCGTTTCGCGCAAGAAAACGCGTCCTCGACCGCGGGAATCGGGATTCTGTTGTTCGGGCGTCGTGAATCAGCCGAGCACGGCTCCCTAGACTATGCAAGTCGAACGGAATAAATCGTTGATTTATCCGCGCTCGTACGGTGCCAAGACTCTATCCGCTTCCACGATCTTGCTTAACCTCGCCGGATTGAAAGTCGAAGCGGAACGCCCCGACCGTTTCTGCTCTTGTATTTTCGATTCTCGTAACGATTTCGACACGTCGACGTTGCGGACGACACGCGGAGGATTCCCCTTTCTGGTCAAGGAACGGAAAGTCGCGAGACTCAGGGATCGTACGCGTCACGATTTTTTAATTTAGAACAGTTATCGGGGATCGTTAGGAGTTTCTTTCCGCCATGAGCCAAGGACTCGTCGAAGGAAAAGGGATCGATGGGGAACAGGGCGAATCGAAAAGCGACGGACGACGAGGGAGGTATTAAAAAACAAAGCGTCTACAGGGTCGGAATAATAAAAGATTGGACAAAGCCGAAAAAAAAAAAGAATAAAATAAAACTCGCGCGACGGTTTCGGGCTTCGTGAATGCGTACTACACGGGCTAGCAGCGTTAACAGCGGCGCCCGTCTCGTTTCTGTCTATTTTTCTGAAAACAAACATTCGATCTGACGAGCTCTATAACACCGATGGAATACTAGAGAAGGACCACTCGTTTCTCGAGCACCCTTCGCGCCGCCATCGCGGAAAGTTATGTTTTTGTTGCGCTCGATTCGTGTTTTTTCGTCTCTTTGCCTTCCGCGCCGTCGCTACGCCGGTCCCTTCGGCGCTCGATACGAAAATGGGCCGCAGGTATTCCCTCTGACACTCGATAAATAGCGGGGAATGTTTGCTCTTGCAAATGAATGTTTTCCGCGAGCCCCGCGAGTGATTTTAACTCCTGAGTGCGCGTCCTGCCAATACGCTTTTTCCCCCAGCCCGCTCTTTCCAACCCCTCGAAACGAGCCGACGAAGAACAACCAACGTCCTCGAACTAATCCGCAAAATCCACTGTCGCGACCGCCGAGGACCCCCCAACACCTCAGACGTAGCTTTTTATTAACCGCCATTAGTCTTAAACCCAAATTCTTCCACCCCCAATACTGACACACGCTTTCCACTCCAAATTAACCCCCTTGCAACTCATATTCACCTTCTTAT